TCTCTAGAAAGATATATGAGGAGTAATATGATAAAGACATTATAACACATTATATTACACTCGAACAAATACTCATTCATGTATATGAACAGATGACTGGAATTCTGAAAGACAATCTGAACAGCGATACATGTACGAGCGTGCCTGGTCTGTGTTAAATTGTGTATTGGCAAGGTAATTTAAACAGTTGGAAAACATAAAAAGTTAGCTAGAAATGAAGAAAAATCCATTGGTAGACAAAGGAACAAAACGTGAGATAAATGAAACACAGAGACATGCACATACATATATATCTATATATGATAAAAATATAGATTGAAGATATACTCTTTTTATGAGTAAACGTGCACAATATCAGAGATAGAGCCCCTCTCCATTCCTTGAGGACACATAGCACAGTGGATAAAAGCGTTAGTTAGATCCAGTGACAAGACCCAAAGAGTGTGAGTTCAATACCCGGTTAAGGCAGTGGAGAACTTGGAGAGGGGTATTAACAAGGGATAACTGACATCCATTAGACATGGCACATGGAACTAGAACAGTCTACACTAGTGAGCAAAATAAAGGGCTCAGTTTGACATTCCAACCACCTGAAGAAGGCCGGAGCGTACAAAGGCCGAAATGTTGTAATAAATCTAGCGACAAAGACGAGGACAATAGTTCGAATAATGTAAATAGTGCACATAATACCTAATCTCAGAAATATAGACAGATACTGAAAGGCCGAAACGTTGTAATAAATATGGCGACAAAGATGAGGACAATAGTTCGAATAATGTAAATAGTGTACATAATACCTAATCTCAGAAATATAAACAGATACTGAAAGGCCGAAACATTGTAATAAATATGGCAACAAAGATGAGGACAATAGTCCGAATAATGTAAATAGTGTACATAATACCTAATCTCAGAAATATAGACAGTCGTTTATGTAAGTTGGATTTTAAATTTAGTACAAAAACACCCAGTTGCGGCTTTCATTCCTACCCAAATGCTCTAACCTATCACAGGAAGCGAAATGCGTTGTCATTAAAAACCTTTTCGCTTTTCTCCCATTTCTTCAATTTTGTTCGGATACTAAGCAATATCCTATTAACACACACAATTATTGTGACGAAAAAATTCGAGTTAGTTATATATTGGAGTGTTACGCACTATATTACGTAAGCCCACTTTTTCGCTGAAAAAAAAAAGCATAGCATGTTACAAAAAGGCCCCAAATTTAATAAAAACTAAGTTTTACCGTCAAAATGTTTATGTTATTATCAAGAAGAAAGAGCAAAGTATTTTTATTATTTTATTAAATTTTTTAATCCTTTCTAGTACGTTCGACATGTTGGCTTCTTTTTCCGTCAGCGGCCGACATAATATCTACACTGAGTGTTTTAGCGCATTTTTTTTTCAGATGAAAAACATATTGATTTGGAAATTCTTGCAAAAATCAAATAATTGTCGGATTTTAATGAAACTTTTAGGGCTTATTCACAAATGAAATTATTTTTAGATTTTTTTAAAGAAAATTTTGGTTTTTTTTTTACATATGTCGCCACCCCACTAAATTTCATGAAATTTCGAGAAATTAAATTTTCATCCGAAAATGTTTTTATTAGTTAAAAGCAGGACTCTTTGGAGAAGGTAAAATATTTTTTTTTCAAACTACTACTCATTTCCCGAAAATCTGCTCTGAATTGTAAAATAAAAAAATGAAATTATGACATCATTTAATTAGGAAAGATTTTAATTGCTTTTATAAATAGTATTTATTGAGGACACTATTGTTTTAAGAAAATCTTTTTTTCGATGATTAATGAATTTTTACAAGACTCGTAATAACTTTTTTAAAATTTAATTTATAATATATAAATCTTTTAAAATTCTGCATCATTTTTCTCCTGTTAGGTGATATTGTTATTAAGTGAAGACTATATATACTAATTAAAAATTGAAAAAGCATAATAAAAGTCATTTTGCATGCAGATTTTTAAAATAATTTGAACTTTTTTATGTAAATATAATATGATGTAAAATACCCTGTTGGAATGTATGGTCTACCATACACGACATTATCAGAAAATAAGAGCGATGACTATAGTAAATTTAAAGTCAAAATTCCTAAAATTAGATTACGGAAAATATTTTCCAACATTTTTTAAGAATAATGAGTACTTAATTATTATGTAAAAAAGGCGCTCACGTCCTTTTCTTAAATTATGTTTTACACATAAAGTCTCTTTAGAACAATAATTATGACATCACTTGCCATCGCCTCGTCTAATACGTAAAACATGGCTGCTTTCGGTTAAAAAAAAACTACTGTTTTGTTTTAAAAATACATTTTTGTATTACTTTAAACATAAAGTAAATAATTTTTTTTCAAATCAGATTAATTATACTTTGAATCAGCCAACATTCCTCAAATAACGTCTCAGAAAATTATATTTTATTTTTGGAAGATTTTTTATTAATACAGAGAATTACATTGCGATGATAGATGACTAAAAAAGGGCGCGAACCAGCTATTTTAGAAAAAAAATCGATTCCAATCAATATAATTTATGATAAAAACACACCAGAGTATTTTACTTGCTGAAAATAGTAAATTTAATTCTTTAGCTTTTAATTAAAGTTAAACTGAAAGCTCCGAGAAAGCTTTTTCATTTATAAAAATTCATTTTAAACTATTGGTATTGAAAATCAGTATAGGTACCTACGCTATTTGTAGAAATGAGCTCATCCAGATGATTTCTATTTGATTTAATAATCTCTATCTATAAAAGGCAGGATGTGTGTGTGTGTGTGTGTGTGTGTGTGTGTGTGTGTGTGTGTGTGTGTGTGTGTGTGTGTGTGTGAATGCACGGCCGCAATTTTCGACGGATTTGCACCAAAATTTACATGCACATACTCCAAGTTAGTGGAGAGGCCAAGACACACTTTGTATTTCCCAACTCCCATCGATAGTGGAAATAATCGATTTTTTCATGCTTCTACGGCAGTTTTCATGTAGTTTGAGTCCTTTTTTTAAAGTTGATCGTTTTGTGTTCAGTTTGTCTAGTTCTTTTTTCGTAACAGATTTAATGTTTACTAAAGAGCTTAGAAAAAATTTGCAGTGTGAGATAGGCAAGAAGTAAGGCATGTAGCAACATCAGCACGGCAAAGGGCACTCCTTTTAAGGCAAGGAAGGGCAAAAATATTTTAAGTCAAGTGATAGCGATTGCTGTATGAGTTGTACGATTTTTAAATCAAGTACGGGGAACGCCGGGCAACGCCGGGCCATGCTGCTAGTTGAAGATATATCTGATGTAAAAGGTGAAAACATAGATCTGCAGGTGATGTAATGGTAACAGCTCCGATAAATCGACCAGCGTGTTCGAATTCAATCCAACTGTGAAGGTACTTTGTTAGCGGTCGGCCTTCCCCACATTGGTGGAAAGGAATGGACCATTACCATACCGTACTGACCCAATGCGTGCTGTTAGGGGCAGATAATGACACGCTTGGGCAAACATTTCTCTCTTAGAGTCATAGTGGATCAAGGGTATTTATTTTATTAATTTACTCAAAGCAAAGAAAGGGGGTCTATATGTACATGGGCTGCTGAAAAATTCTCACCTTGACTTAATTCTGTTTTAGTTTCCGGTTCTTTCTAAAGCTTTTTCATTCACTTTCTCCCAAGAGTAACTGTTATTGTCTGGTTCCTAGTACCCCGGGTGACAGTCCAAGGTAGAACCAATAAAGAAGAATTCGAACACGGATAGGGAATAACACAGATATATTACAAACAGGAATATATACAGAGAAGTAGAAAGTGTTAGTACGAACAATCAGGTTTAGTAGAGAGAACAATGTAGTCTCGACCAGTATCACTATTCCAATGTCTTGTATCAATTGTCTGAACGCGACTCTGTTTCGGACTGCCTCTGACTCGACTTTTGACTCGACTGACTCGCTCGCTCTGACTGACTGACTTCTGACGGACCTCACTCCAGACTTCAGACTGAACAGTATTTAGTCCCCCGCCACGAGGGTATCATGTGGCACAAGGCCGGTTTAACGTGGGGCCTCCGAGCCCGTGGGTTCGGCCAAAAATATGCCCTTTGAACCCGTATAAACGGGTTCAGGGTCGGTTTACCTCCCGAAAGAGACCCCGCCCATCGGCGTAGCCTCGTTCGGGTTCCTCCCCGCCCGAAGTTCAACCGATCAGCCGGTCAGCCGGTCAGCCGGTCGCCCGACTTCAGGCTGAACTCTCTGCTTCCTCTTGAGGCGCAGTATTTATTACGTATGGAATAGTGCATTATGTTATTATGGGCAAGGTCCCATAACAGTAACCCTATCCGTCTTAGTGACGTTATCCCCTTGATTTGGGTGAAATGATTAAAAAAGAATTCCTAAAATCAGAACAAATGACCAAGCATAAGATATTTTAATAATAATTCCTTTTATTTTCTCTCCGCAATTTTTCCAGTCCCCACTTCGTACAGTGCATGCACCTTTAGAAAAAACACTGTTGCAACAATGTAACTATAGTAGATGCGTCTGCTTAGAAACTCTGTCCAGTCATTCCGTCATTTGAGTATCCATTATGACAAACTTCGATTGCTAAGGGAACAGATTTCCAAGGCAAAGAGATACAAATCGACTAAGATAAATAAATTAATAGATTGATGAATAGACTGATAGAGTCAATATGGAATCTCATAGGTAGATTAATATTTCATATTTTCTTCTCCTGGCTTTCGATCAGCTTATTCTCTGCTTATCTGTCGGCGACATTATCGATATAATAACTTGAAATGCGGAAAGGAAAAGAGCAAAGAGATAGTGTCGCAACTGAATGTTCGTATGTAGTTCTCTAAATAAACTGCTCTGGTGTCCCGATGTCTTGGCGTCCGGTGATGTCAACAAAGGGGTAATATGAATTCGGAATGCTTGAAGATTCAGCATCTTATAAAATCAATCAATATATCAATAAGTTACGATGCCTTCTTCAGATTTCGTACAACCCTTTCCCGTCACATCATCGAAGTTAAGCAACGTCGAGCCTGGTCAGTACTTAGATGGGTTACCGTTCGAGAATATAAGGTGCTGTAAGCTTGGATGTGCGGGTGGTGTAATGTATAACGGTTCTGAATTGGAAATTAAAGAGACGAGTTCCAATTTTAATTGGTTCCGTAATATTTACTTATGCGCAAATATCCTTGGGAAAGATAAGAATTCATTACTTCATCTCTCGTATATGAGTTAATTAGTAGGATTTGTCTCAGGAAATCATTATTATCCCTCGAAAATCAAAACAATCAATTAAATAAACAATCAAAAAATATTTTCTGGCTTGCAAAAAGTTGTTGAGGCGTAAAATCACTTAATTAAATTTTGTTCAAAACAAATACAACTTTCACGTTTCACTTAGTGTTATGGTCCGGTTCCTTGTACCACGGTGATAGTCCAAGGTAGAACCAATTAAGAAGAACTCGAACACGTATATGGAATAACGCAGGTATATTACAAACAGGAATATATACAGAGAAGTAGAACGTGTTAGTATGAACAATCAGGTTTAGTAGAGAGAACAATGTAGTCTCGACCAGTATCACTATTCCAATGTCTTGCAGTAATTGTCTGAACGCGACTCTGTTTCGGACTGCCTCTGACTCGACTGACTGACTCGCTCGCTCTGACTGACTGACACGTGACGGACTTCACTCCAGACTTCAGACTGAACAGTATTTAGTCACCCCCACCACGAGGGCATCATGTGGCACAAGGCCTTTTTAACGTGGGCTCTCTGAGCCCGTGGGTTCGGCCAAAAATATGCCCTTTGAACCCGTATAAACGGGTTCAGGGTCGGTTTACCTCCCCGAAAGAGACTCCGCCCTTCGGCGTAGCCTCGTTCGGGTTCCTCCCCGCCCGAAGGGAGAGAATTCAACTGATCAGCCGGTCGCCCAACTTCAGGCTGAACTCCTGCTTCCTCTCGAGGCGCAGTATTTATTACGTATGGAATAGTCCATTATGTTATTATGGGTAAGGTCCCATAACACTTAGTGTTCTAAACACAGAAGATTAGCAGTACCTCATATTTTTTTAAATATAATAATACTGCCTATAATCAACTTGCTATATATGTTTAAGAGATGAGCCAATTAAATGCATGATTTAATCTTTGATCATGCTGTTTAAGTTGGTATGTAGCCGAATGATTCTAGCCTTGTGGACATGAAACCCAAGATCTTACTCTTTGATAATATCGTCCTAGGGAGCCAAGCTCGGTGGGTGAGAACATTGTGAGGTGTTTGGAAATCATGCAGGTGAAAATGTGTAGACGAAACTTTAAGGAACCCATCAATAGCTGTGATATTTGTCAGATTGAAGTTCTGCATGGCAATCTCTTTAGAGACGATGCCTTTATAAATGTATGAATCCTTCAGCATCATGTCGTCGGAATGTGTCGGTCAGTAAAAAGCAAGAACAAAAAAAAAAAAAAAGAACCCCCCTCTTTAAAAAACAAAAACAAAAAAAAAACAACAGGAAAACAAAACAAAAAAATGCTGATAACTGAAATTCTTGAAGTCACGTAAATTGCTCAATCTAACGAAGGCAGCGTCCTTTGATTGATCGAGTTGTTTATTTACGGGTTACCAACCTCTGTGGGGTGATTTAAAGCCAAAATATATTTTTAGAATTCAAGAATCTCACTACAGAGTTATTTAAAAGTATCTCCCTATTTTATGCATAATGGACTCTCCCGTCTAACTATAATTTTTATAAGACTGTAGAGTCCATCATACATAAAATAGGGAGTTAATTTTCAATCATCCTGTATTTGCCTTAGAGCTGGTGGGGAGAAATGGATTCATATTTTTCCCAAGGGTATTTGCACGTAAGTGAATGTAACAAATCCAACTGGAATTGGAACTTGGATCTCCGTTTTCACATTTCGAGTCTTTATCCATTACGCCACCCACACATCCAAGGTTACAGGCTTAAGAGAAGGAAGTACATAGGGTTCTACTCTGCAACATTTTCATATATTGAATCAAGCTTTCCACCCTGCGCGTTGCATATGCATTCTTTAATAAACGTATAACATAAAAAAGGAAAAGAGTACTGAATTGCTACGTAATAGCAATAATCCTACATGATAGAATGATGAGACCTTACTGCCAATCTAGTACTGCGCTTAAATTTGTAAAGTCTAGGTACCATAGAGGAAAGTCCTATTTATTTTGAATAATACAAAAATGTGGCACAAGGCCAAAAGGAAGGCATAGGGTAAAGCTGGTCTTTAGATTTAGCTAGCCACAGTTACTGACCCAAACATAACACAGTATTCCTTGCACCAAAACAACAAATTCTTACTTAGCATTCTTACTACAGTCACCATAATACCTCAGGTCTCTATGAAGTCTTAACTAGTTTCCATATGTACAATTTATCTGTGGGGGGAGTGGGAAATAAAAATAACAACATTTTAAAATGAAACCCTAATGAATATTTACAATGAATACAATTTAATATACATAGAGGAAAGTTCACCAGAACAATCACCATGAAAGTATTTATAGAAAAGGCAGAGGGAAGCTATATTATGGCAGTGGGAAACTGACTGAAGCAGAGATGCCAGGTCAGGACCAATAATATATTCATCTCCAACATGGCTGCAGCTAAAACAATAGAAAAAAAGAACAACTTAACAGAACATACAGTGATGTTAGCTTGAATTTTCCATTCTTGACTTTTAATTGTGCCATTTTTCTCCTATCTGTAATAAGCAGCATGGATAAAAAAAAGAATATCTTTCTAATCTGTGCCATTTACCAGGGACCTGTGGTAGGGGGGCGAGTGGTGTAGTGGCTTGGAATGTGAGATCAAATTTCAATTGGATTCATTACAGTGTTTCATGCACGATGCAATTGTCAGATGCAGATTGAAAACTGACTGCTCTAAAATTTAAATATTGATATTTATAACTTATTGTTTAAGGAAGCAGTCCAATTATTTATAGGGGAAGAAGAAAAAGCCAAGCAACAAATGTAGGCAAGTATACGAACACATTAGTATCCAAGTTCAAAAAATGCTTTAGTATTATTAGTGTAATTTTTAACTCTGTTAGTATCCATCAAACACTGATTTATTACAACCAGCACTCATTAGTGATGCCCGTGGCCAACACCTTGATTGTATGTCCCTAAGACTCAAGTAGCGGGGGGTGCCTATAGGGCCTCGTACTGAGAAATGTGAGAAAGGAAGACATTTTAAATATGTAAAAACAGATTAAACATCAAATAAACTCTATATTCAAATTAAATATAAACTAAATTTTTATTTCACTTTTTGATTGGATGCCCTCCTAATATGGATGCTCGGGAGAGGGGAGTGTCATACCCTCTCCCCTATATTATCTGTTTCCTTATATGGAAGCATTTGTTATTCATTGACGAAGCAGCCAGTGTTACCTTCCGTTGAAATTTATAAAATGTTAGAATATTTCCTTACAGATGACTTGAGGCAACAGAGGTGTGATTCTACAGAAGGATACTGAGAATACTATAGACTGAACATGTGAGCAATGAAGAAGTTTTTGATAAAATGGAAATAAAAAGGACACATACTTAACATAAAAAAGAGACGGCTGACGTTTCTAAGATACATAATGAGTACAGAGGGCTTGAAAAACTTGATACTGACAGGACAGGGAAGAGAGACAGATGAAATCACGACATAACACACCAAGCGGGCTTGAGTAAAGTGATGGCAGAACTGGGCGCAGTGGATAAAGGCGTTGGTTGGATACCGTAACTTGAACCAAAGAGTTGTGAGTTCAATACCTGTCTACTGCATTGGTGAACAAACACTTGGAGAGTTGAGTTAAAGGGAGATAACTAAGACATCCGGAAGAGGCATGGCATGTGGAAGTAGAAGAATCTACCAAAGTGGACGAAATTAAAGGTTCAGTTCGAAAATCCAGTCACCTGAAGAAGACCGGAGCGTATAACGTACGAAACGTTGTGGATATGACAACATAGATAAGGACAACAGTTCGAACAATGTAAATAGTGTCGAAAATTGATTTTTATTGGTTTTATTTACAACTAGGCTAGAAGTCAAACTTTAGGCTAGCTCCTGTGGAGGGCTTTTTGTCCTTCGGCCTTTTATATTCAGCGTCCTATGTACGTAAAAGAATTTAGAAATAATAAAATCATTTTATATCTATTCGACAACTGAATTTGTCATAATCTTTCTTCAGATACGCAATTTTTATTTTTTTTAAAAGAACATAATGTCATTCTTAAAAGAAATTAGGGAACCTGAACTATGTAATATTTCGAGTAACTCACAGTACGCGTGCGAGAAAAAGAAAAAAAAAACATATGAGCAACATGCCGTGCCGAGCTTAAGTTTTAATTACAATTTAATTAGACGAAATCAATTGCAATTGCGACGAAAAACGAAATTACAGTTGAACCTTTAATAAAGAATTGTTTATTTTAAACCTTTCACTCTGTTCGATTTTTAATTTAACTTTAAATGAGTTATTTATTTAATTTTTAAGTGCGTAACAGTTGTTACTACAGGTTATTTATGATTTGCTGAGATCTAAAAACGGACAGACGGACGGACACACGTACACTGCGCTTTATTTATACAGATAGTGCATAGAATGAGCGAATTCAGCAAATCGAAGATATTCATTCAGATATTTTCTTCTCTTTTACAGTTTTAGAATATTTCATCTGTCCATTGGGAAATTGTGTTATGACTTACTAATTATCCCCCCCACTGAACTTATTGACTAAGATTAATCACTGGAGAAATATAAATGTTTTAGAATAACATAAATTGTATAATTTATAATATACACTAAATTTTATTCACTTTTACTGGTAGAAAATATTTATAAACAGAGGCTTACGGCCACATCACGTTGAAACACCAACCGTGCGATCAGCGAAGTTGAGCAACGTCGAGAATGGTTAGTAACTGTTGTGGTAGGATCCACCTAATTTGCATAGTGGAGTACCGACCATATAAATATGGTTGGTACCGGGAAGAGAGGAAGGAATCAAGAGATTCAATCCAGAGACTCTGCCCGAC